GGGGAACACGATGGTGGGGGAAAAATCATAAAATACATGGAGAAAAACACCCCTTCCCTGGAATTAAACACTCCCCAGGAGCCAACAGCAACGGGAAGAGGCCAAACCATCAGCAGAGCAGCCTGAATTCCCCAGCAGCAGAGAGACGGCGTCGACTCGCAACTTTCCAGAACTAATTACTGTGATTTCTAACGACCCTGGATTATTCTATCGACGCAAAAAAGAAACCAGACACTTGTAACCTCCCTAAAACCTCCCTCGGCTTTTTCTTCTTCCCCGTGTCTTCATTTCAAAAACTTCACTCTGTTTTTTCTTCCAGGGTTTTTTCTTCACAGGGAGGAGACAGCGCTTTGAAGAACCGGCTGAACATCCTTCCTACTCCCGGGCGACAGCTAAAAAATCTCTATTTAAAATAAATTTGCTATAAAGAAAGGGGGGGGGGGGAAAAGCTTTGGAATAAAAGGAATCTGGCTTGACAAGATGTCTCGGAGCTTGTCTCTAGTCAGGGAGTCAAAAAGCAGCGAGGAAAGGATGAAAAAAACATCCAGAAACTCTCTCTCCCTAAATTGTGGGGCCAGAAACTCCCCTCCCCCTGAATTTTTGGAGCCAAAACCTCCCCTCTCCCTAAATTTTTGGGGCGGGAAACTCTCTTCTCCTGAATCAAGGGAGTTTCTAATGGGATGGTGAGGAAGGGAACATCCACCTGTCTACACAACATCGCCACAAAGGCGGCAGCATCATCTCTGCCCCCCAAAATCCATCCCAAACCCAGAAAAAGCAGAGGGAAAGAGGAAAGGGGTGGAAAATCAGAGCGGCGTGGCCGAAATAGCTGTGTTTTACCCCGAAACTCCCACTCCCACCGCCGAGGGGAAGGCCCTGTCCCTGCTGTACCTTCCGCGCGCGGCTGTTGGTGACGGGGAACTCGCCCAGGCTGTCGTCGTCGATGCGGGGATCGGGGAGGGCCCGTTTCTCCAACGGGTCGGTCCTCAAAAGGGCTTCCAGGCTGCTGCCGTCCTGAGAGATCAGCCCTTCCTTCTTCAGGGTCTGATCCGTGTCTGCAGGAGCCAGTGGGGGGAAAAAGGAGAAAAATCAGTGGGGGAAGAGGGAGATGCAGCAAGATCCCGTCTCACGCAGCGCGGCGGGGTCAGAAAAAGGGATTCACCGCCCCTCAATCATCATCCGGTGATATTTGGGCACGATTTTGCCCAAAAAGTCACCCCTAACTGGGCGCAGAAAGCAGCAGTGGGAAGGATTTACCTGGTTTGATAGAAGGGAAAGAAAGTCTGGGGTCCTCTGGAGGATGAGCACGGCGTTTCTTCCGCCAGCGGCGCGCGGGGTAGGAGTAAAGCTGCCCGGCGGCTAAACCTTTTATTCAAAAAACCAAAAAAACAACCCAAAATTATCCGAGGTGATGACACACACAGAGTCCTTGTCCCCAAGCTGGCTTTTTCCCACCTTACCTGGCCCTCGGTGACGTTTCTCCATCCAGATGTAGCAGTTGCTTTGGGCAACCCCAGTCTGGGAGTCGAGGAAAGGGAGGCGGACGCTCCTCTCGGCGCAGAGCCGGGCGTTGTAGTTGTGACACTGCTCCATGGCATCCCGGTAGTACTGTTCCCCGAGGCTGTTGGGGGAAGAAGAGAGGGTTCAAAGTTCACCCCCAAATCCCAAAATCCAACCCTCAGCCCACAGCAGGGTCAACCAGAGCAGGTCGGACATAAAAAACGTGTCCAGGTGGGTTTGGAATCTCTCCAGAGAAGGAGACTCCATCATCTCCCTCAACGTAAAGAAGTTCCTCCTCATGTTGAGATGGAAGTTCCCATCTTCCAGTTTGTGCCCGTTGCCCTTTTTCCCCCTAACTGGGTTCCTGGGGGTGTCTGTGAGATTGGGAGAGGTTTATCCTCATTTCCACACCCCGAGTGGCTGCACGGCCCCTCGCCTGGGGCGGGATGACGGCGTTCCCGGGGGGAAAACTCCACTCGGAGGGAGGGCTGAGTCCCAGGAATTCAAAAACACCCTCCCCTGGACTACTTTTTTTGAGGTTTAAGACCCAAATCCCAGCAGAAAAAAAATAAAAAAAAAACCCCCCACGGATCCCAAAAGCAACGCAGCCCAGCTCTGCTCCTAAATGGCAAGGAGGGGTTTTTCCTACTCACTGTCGCAAGCGTAGGGTTTATCCCTGTCTTCTAAAATAGCTGCATCCAGCTTCTTGCGAGCCCCTCCGACACCTTTGCCCTGGAAAAAAAAAAAAAAAAGGCAAGTTTTAGGCAAAATTGTGACCCAAAAAGGCTTTTTGGGTGACAGGGAGGACAAGAGCAGTGATGCGGCGTCGGAGAAAAAGCACGATCCAACACTGCCCCGTAGTGGGGACGGCCCCAAAATGCTGCTGGATATGAGTTTTCCCCCAAAGTGAGGTTTTGTTGAGCCCTGGAAGATGGGATTTGCCAAGAATCGCCACCAAAATTAACACCAGGACCCAGCCAGAGCCAACCCAAGTGCCCTCACCTTGGCTTTCCCCTTCCCTCTCCGCTTCGGCGTATCTTCTTCGTAGTCTTCATCGTCCAAATCGTCCAGGAAATCATCGGGCTCAAGAATCCGCTAGGAAAGAGTTAAAAAAAAAGGGTTATTGCAGACAAATCCTGGCATAAATCGAGGGAAAAGAGGGAAGAATTGGGGAAGGAGGTTGCCCGAATCCGTTCCAAGCCTGTGATACAGAAGGATGAGGAAGGACACAAGATTTTGGGGCACAGAGAGGGAATTTGGAATGTTTTATCCCCAAAAAAAGTCAGAGAAGGGCCCAATACACTGTGAAGAGGCTCAAAAAAAATAAAGTAATCAAGGAAAAGGCAAAAAGAGACAAGGCCTGGAAAAAATTTTCAGGCTAAAAAGCACCACAGAAAAGCCCAGGAAGGGGAAAATAAGGGTTTTTTTTAGCAAAATTACACCGCAATATCACACACTGGGCTCTGCCCCGTGCTTATTTGGGGGAGGATTTATTAAACTGCAGCCACTGGTGGGGAAGGAGGTGAAGCTGAGGGCTATATATCATTAGAGCGGTCGGTTAACGAAGCGGTGGAAGGAAAAGGGAAGGGAAAAGGCTCTGGTGGTGCAGGAATGTCCCCTCCAGCCTGAGCTGGGGCTAATCCGTACCAAGCCGGGCCAGGAGCCACTAAACCAAGGCTTTCTCACCCCTGGGGGGTGGTTTTTGGCAGCAAAAAGCAGCTACGACAGCAGTCGTGGGGGGTTTTAAGTCCAATTTGCAGCTCCGAGGGGAAAAGGGGGAGCTCCTGCAACCCCAGCATCAATTAACATAAAGCATCGACGAGTCTGACGGAGGATGAGGAGGGGGGAAGGTTTTATTCAGCTCCAGACCTTGGTAAGAAGCTTAATATTTAAAAAAGCTTCCAAGTTGTGCCAAACCAGGGTGAAAAGGGGCTGATGGACCCAAATTATGCAGTGGAGGGAGGAAAGGGGAAGATCCCAGCCCCTTTTTTTCCTGCAGATGATGACAAATTCAGGGGCTCCTCTCTCCCTGAATCACTTCTTTCTCCACCAAACCTGGGCCCTCTGCTCCGAGCATCGTTAGCGGCCGAGTTAAGCCCCTTCACACCAGGCAGGGATTAATTGGGGGGGGGGGGGGGGCGAGCGGGGGGG